AAGACGAGCAATATCAATTGAGGTATTAATCAAATAGAATGCTTAAGACATGATCTGGCTTTCTGTGAATCCTTGTGTTCTAGTTTTGTTTCGGCTTTGGTCAAATTGGTAATAAAGATATAATTAAACTTTATTGTAAGTCCATAGAAGATCTTCATTGTTTTATACTCAGGTTGAAAATGTCAAAACTTTCATAAATTTTGGTAGGCATGCAATACTAATCCTTCGTTTACATGTTTGACATTTGCAGGTTGGTATGCAAAATTCTTCTTTGGGTGTGGTTTTGGCCACTTCTCATTTCACCTCGCCAATGGTTGCATTACCCGCCGCATTGTCTGCTGTGATTATGAATATAATGGGAAGCAGTCTGGCATTCTTTTGGAGATATGTTGATCCTTCTGACTCCAAGGAGACTCCTACAGTTGAGGTTAAGTGACAACTATAGCACCCTTTCGAAGTTTTCCCTAACCCGGCAATATCTGCTGTGAGTATGAATACAATGGGCAGCAGCAGTTTGGGTGTCCTTGGAGAAATGTATCCTTTTGGCTCCATTAAGTCTCCAATAGTTGATGTTAAGTGACAGTAAAAGCCTTTTCTAAGTTTCCTAGCATACTTATGGAGTTCAGATTCTTTGTTTTATTTTTTATGTGAAGATATTGTTAACTAATAGTCTAAAACAATGTCGTTTTAGGTCACACTGATACTTCAAATATAAATAAGCATCCTATTTTATCATTAATATGTCATGTACCTCTAGAATCTCATGGTCTTTACCTCTAGCATCTTGTGGTGCCTAGTTTTGAGCGAGATTTGAACTCTTCTACGGAAAAATGTATAGCCACGCGGCTATACTCGGGACTATACCCACGATTCTTCATATACAAACAAAAAGGTATAACAGCGGCCAGGTCTGGGGCCTCTTTTATTTATTTTTATTTTATAAATAGTATAGCCGCGCGGCTATACTGTTTATACAAAAAACTAGGGGTGGCATTTTAGACTGAAAAACTGCAAAAACTAACTGACAATATACTGCAATGGAACTGCAATCGCGGGAAACCAAACCGCATTTGTGGTATGAAGAACCGAACCGCATTTGCGGTATTTGATTTCAAAACTTGCGATTACTGCAAACCGCGACTATATTTATAAATAAATAAAAATTGCATTTTTTATATAGCATTGGTGCTCAAACAAAACAACGGGGTCCTTCAAATCCACTTACCACCACCAATACTTGAGTTTGTAACTTTAATTTGTAACATTGATGCATTGCATTTTCCTTTTAGTTTGTAACTTTAATTAACTTTGAATTGAATTTTTCCTTTGGGTTGTAACTTTAATTCATTTTGCATTGCATTTTCCTTTTGGTTTGTAAGTTTAAAGGATTTGGATTTGGAATGCTTGAGAAGTTGAGGTTGTGAATGCTTGAGAAGTTTAACTTTAATTGTAATGCTTGGAATTGCACCTTTAATTTTTTTTAGGTTGTAAATGCTTGAGAAGTTGAGGAGGTTGAGAATTTATATATGCTTGAGAAGTTGAGGTTGTGAATTTATATTTTTGGGTTAAAGTATGCTTGAAATCAAAAGGCTTCAAAAAAAGCATCAAAATTAGGCCTAAAATGTGGAAGATTGGTTTTTATGACACAAAAAGAACTTGCGGTTTTAAATCGCTAATTTACGGTAACCGTCTGCTTTTGCGGTTTCAAAAATCATCATATCGCAAATAGTCGGTCGGTTTGCAGTTTGGGCAAAAATTCGCAGTTACCAAATCGCAACTACTCCTACAAAAAACCGTAGTATAGTCGTACGGCTATACTGTTTTGACACGTGGCTAGGAGCTACACGAGTCCTTTTGTTTTAAACAAATAGTATAGCCGTATGGAATTTTTGTTTTCAAAAAAAGTGTATAGACGCGTGGCTGTACTGGGATCCTTTATTTTTATTTTTATAAAGCGTATAGTCGTGCTGCTATACTCTTCACATAGATGCTGTTATCTTTCTTTTTTAAATTGTTTTTCCCCGATTTTTGTTTATCAATAGTTTAGAGTATTATCCATTATTATTAGGCCATTACTCGAGTCTCTATTATCCTGTTTTTAGTTTTCCAGAGTTATTACACGTATAAAGAATTTAGCATTTTCACCTTTAATACTCATATTGTACACTTGCATACATATTTTTCATGTTTAATACACTTAAATTAATATCTATAAAGTATAAACTAATGCAATTAGATATTAATTTAATAATTTTTTTTTAGTATCACTAGAGAAAACGAGGTAGACCAAAGGTAAACATTCCCAAAAAAAAAAAAATGATGAAAAAATTGAACTCTCAAATTGATTTACTGTGAAATTTTTCTCTCTTCAATATTTGCTTTGGAGATGTCGAAACTAGCAAATTAATAACTATAAAGTAAAACAATGTCGTTTGATGTCACACTAATACTTCAAATACAACTAAGCATCCTATTTTATCATTAATATGTTACGTACCTCTAAAATCTCATGGTCTTTCCTCTAGCATCTTGTGGTGTTTAGTTTTGAGCCATATTTGAACTCTTCTACTTAAAATAGTGTGAAACCAGGGCTCCTGAACCCTCTTAGAGCACTTTCACCCACAAGGGCTAAGTCTAAGGCAAGGGCAAGTAAGAGCTGCCACTATTCACGTGAATAGTGTCAGCCTTTGCATTTGTGGTTCCACCCATGAGGGCAAGTCTAAGGCAATTACTATTCATTGTACTTCATTTCTTTTTTTTTTCTTTTTTTTTTTTATACTTTAAACCATTAATTTTGATAAGCTTTTTATATTATATTTTCGGTTGTCACGTGTCACTATTTATTATAAAATTTTCATTTAAAATTTAAGATAACATTTTTCGTTGAAAATTTTACAAATTTATAAATAAACCCAATCCTAGACATGTATTTATAAAAAAAACTCAAACACTATTTAAACATAGAAACACATCCAAAATCAACCCCCAAATCAACAATTGTATATTTTTTGGGTGTGTTTATAAATGTGTTTTGAGTGTGTGTAATGATGGGTTTTGGGTGTGTTTATAAAGTATTTTGGGTTTTGGGTTTTTTTATAATTTCAGCCCCCATTTTGGGTGTTTTAGTGAAACTCCCATAAAATTTTCGGTTGCCACGTGTCCATATTTATTATAAAATTCACATCTCACTCATCATACAATTGAAATACCTACTTACTCATCATACAATTGAAATATTCTTGGTTCTCATAATCCGACACAATGGAATACAAGGACAATTCCATCATTGGAGGAGGTGGTTCCACCGGATCACGACGTGGGGGAGTATTTTCCTTCGGATGACGTAATAGTGCCATTATTTCTGATACGGAACGCACCACTGGAACTGACTGCGGGCATTATTCACTTGAGGTGCCATGTGTAATGGTTTTCTTCTTTTTTGTTTAACAAATGAAATTTTGTAGTAGAAAATTTGGTGTGGAAAGTAAATAAAATTGTTAGGTATTTATAGGGAAAAAATGCAGAATTTTTTGGTATTTTTTTTTAAAAAAAATTGATTTTTTTTTGTTTTTTTGTTGTTGTAATTTTTTAAGCCAAAAAAAGCAAAGCTGTCAGATTTCTAGAAAAAATTGCATCGGAGCGTCTAGAAGCGCCACATGGCATATTCCTGTTGGGGACTGTCATAAGTGACATCATGCTGACGTCAGCGAGCGAAAATAAATTTAATTTTTTTACTGTTGGCGAGTGAAATTCACGCGCCAACGGTAAAAAAAATTGATTTTCCGTGCACTGACGTCACGAAACTCGAGCTGAAGCTCAGGCAGAACTTGCCCTTGGCCCTGCCCGGTCTGGTGGGACCCAGCAGTTGCCCGGGCTCGATCTCTCGCGCTGGAGCGCTTCTGGGCTCACCTGGGGGCCCTTTCCCCCGGTTTTGGGTGAGCGCTGGAGATGCTCTTAGGCCATCCTCAATGGGGGCTCTATTTGGGGCTCAACCACCACAAGGCTCCAATATATACAAACTCTCGTTTAAAAAGGCATCCTCAATGGTGCAAATTTGGGGTTCTAAAACTTAAAACCCAACCGGAGTAGCAGCTAAATGTATGAGCTTGGTTGAAGCCCTGGAAATCGAGTGGGACCCACCAATTGAAAAAGCTGCAGCCCACTTTTGTGCTATTTCTCACTTGCCTGAGACTATACAAGACATACTTGCCTTAAATTTGGTTGTCCATTTGCATGTTGGCCCACGTGGCATACTTGCCTTTAATTTGGTTTTTCCATTTGCAAGTTGGCCCACGTTCATTTGCATGTATTACCAAATTTACAAAGCTGTGTCAACAACTCTATTTCAACTTTGGGATGAGCTTGGTATCTATGAAATAAAATGTTGATTTCCAAATCTTGTCCAAATTTTGATTTTTTTTGGTTGAAATGTTCACAAAATAAAAAACTAACATAACATGAACAAACATTAAAGTAAAATAGTTAACAAAAAAATAATAAATAAAAACATGTAAATCAAATTACATCATAAAAAAAATATAGAGCCTCCTATTGTGGGAGAGATTCCTTTAGAGCCTCAAAGATTCCATCGGAGCTCTAAATGGGGCTCTATAAACCCTTTTTAGAGCCCCAATCATTAGGGATGGCCTTAGGAACTCAATCTTATCAATATAGCCAGGCTATGGCTTTTGCCGACATTCAACCACCATTTGGATTTCCATTGTTGTCGCCTCTGTTGAAATTTTTTTCCATGGCCATTGTTTTGGTTGTTTCTCTCCAGCGGCCAGGCAAAAGCATACTTCTCTTTTTATGCCTTGTGATAAGAACTTGAGACTTTGCCAATGGGGTCTTAGCTCAATGGTAGAGATGTTGGCATGTAGGCTAGCGATATGCGGTTTGATATACCCTCTTTCTTCCTAACTGTGGCAAAAAGAAAAAAGATAAAAACTTGAGGCCTCAGTCATTAAACTTAATAAACCAAGTACTTTAAACCTAAACCCGACTAAAATAAAGCAATGACCGTCTTAAAATACAATCTTCTGGGATATTCATGATATGCTAGACTAGACTGATTTGCGGTAAACATTAATGTAAAATTTTCGAAAAAAAAATGTAAGACAATTTCAATAATCGTGCATGCCGAGTTTTTCTTAGAGTGTGAATAACAGTTGTCTGAAAAATTGGTATAAATTAATGACATGCCTTGCAATGCCCGGCATTATTTTCTTGTGCTTTTATATTGGTCATAGAGAGAGATTTTGTTGTTTCCTTTTTAACTGATACGTTATAACTATATAATATTAGTACTTGTAATTGTCTATTGGTCTATTTCAAGGTGTCTTTCTCGTTGGTCTATTTTTTTATGGGCCATGAAAAGCACATGAGTATACATCACAATACACGTGCGTGTATGCTTATAAAAAAATTGCTAGAATGTTTGTTTTTCTCTTTTTTATTTTTTATGGATGGTGACAATTGACAAGAAATTCCAACCTCATTTGATTCCATTTGCAAGGGTTGTAGCCAAAATGACAAGAACATTTGCTGCAATGACCAGCAAATGCATGAAGGTTGTGTCTTTTGGAGCTTCAACATTAAGATAAGATGAATTTATGTAATTTGAAAATGTATTTTCTCACTGTTTTCATAAAATAGAGCTATATTAGTATTATGTATTTTTCCTGATACAAACGTACTATTACAGGAAATAGAATCAAACACGATATGGAGCAAACGAGAGAATCAAACACAAGACATCAAGCGAACGGGAGAATCGAACACAAGACATATCAAGCGAACAAGAGAGTAAATGCTTTTTATAACTCTAGTTACATACCACTTACTATATGTTTTGGGTGAAGCTAATTCGGTTGCATATTGGCATCATTAGATATAGGAAAATTTCAGTAAATTTTCTTGGAGAGAAGAAGCATATAGGTAAATATAGATAAATATATAAGAACATGAAATAGGTAACTTTTGCGTCGGCAGCAGCTTTCTGAGTTGCATGGAAAAAGCATGCACTCATTTTTGCCAGCAACTTCAAATCTCAAGTCCAATAATGAAAACTTTTAATTATTTGAGCTACAAGTCATTTGCTCCACTGAACTCCTTATTCACGTCTTGTTTAGGTCAGTCAACTCAAAGTAAACGATCTTGACTATGCGCCTAATCAACCCTTATTGGGGGATGATGTACCATCAGTGAATTAATTGTGGGAAGAAAAAGGCAACGCTGACCGTCCCTTTCGTTTTTTCAATTTTCATATTTTCTCTCTCTCTCTCTCTCTCTCTCTTGATGTGCTTACTATGGTAAACTAGATTGGAGCTTCCAAGCAACATCCCATCAAGCTTCAGGCAATAACACGGCAAAGAGGTCAAGTCACCACCGTCAAGCTTCAAGCAATAACACGGAAAAAATCGTGAAAATTAGGGCATCAAATTCTCGAGTTTAATTTCCACCAAAATAGGCGTCATTTCACAATTTTCATAGTGCCATTTACAAAATTCGACATACATAATTCCAAACACTGAAATCTTCAATTGCCAGAAATTGAAATGATGGAAATCTAAATTCCGTCATTTTAGAATTCTATGTAATTATCAATTTCTTCATCCAAAATGGAGGGTAATAGTGTGCCTTTTTCCCAGAAATCAAATAGACAGATATAGAGAAAAATCAAACCTGCAACTTAGAAAAACCAAATTCATATAGATAAAGAATGAGATCATTCCTAAATATCGGTTGAACTCCTTACTTTTGTTTTTCCTAATATTCAAGAGGAAAAAATCTAACCTAAAATCTCAAGTCCAATAATGAGAACTTTTAATTATTTGAGCTACAAGTCATTTGCTCCACTGAACTCCTTATTCACGTCTTGTTTAGGTCAGTCAACTCAAAGTAAACGATCTTGACTATGCGCCTAATCAACCCTTATTGGGGGATGATGTACCATCAATGAATTAACTGTGAGAAGAAAACGACAACGCTGACCGTTCCTTTCGTTTTGTCAATTTTCATATTTTTTCTCTCTTGATGTGCTTACTGTGGAAAACTAAATTGGAGCTTCCAAGCAACATCCCATCAAGCTTCAGGCAATAACATAGCAAAGAGGTCAAGTCACCACCGTCAAGCTTCAGGCAATAACACGGAAAAAATCGTGAAAATTAGGGCTTTCTCGATGAATTATATATGAATGATAATTTATCGTTTTATTTTTATGGGATGAATATTTATGTTTTTCTTGATTAGTTGTTGAGGTTTTTTATTTTATTTTTCTCCAAGGAGGTTTAATTTTGGTTAGTTACCTTTAGTTTGAATAAAGGATTTCTTAATAATAAAAACATTTATGGGTATATTTTGTATACATTTTTTTTAACCTTTTAAAAGTTGACCCCAGAGGGAAAATTCCTGGATCCGTCCCAAGAAGGGATGAGAACATAGCATAACCCATGGATGTTCAGAAGCAAGACGACATCTTTTGCTCTTAACATGTGTTTGCCAATAACGCCAAACTGTACCAAATCGAAGGAAATCTGATACGTGCTTTCTACCTCCAATTACATATTTTGGGTCATAGGGTTATATGAGAGAGATCCAGATCTGGTGTGGAACACAGAGAGAGAGAGAGAGAGAGAGAGAGAGAGAGAGAGAGAGAGAGAGGAGAGGAGGGGTGGCGGGGGGAGGCAAGGAGGAGAGGGTTTGCTGCCACCGGGGTGGGGTGGAAGATGAGGTTGGGTGTGGAGCTTTGGTGGCTGTTCACTTTCTGCGTTCGGTTACTTCTTTTTGTTTATGCGTTTACAATTTTAATTTTTTTTATTTAAATTTCATATTTCCACACTTATCCAATTTTTTATTTTTTTTATTTTTTGGGGTCTGAGTTTTGTTTTATCTTTAAGAATGAGTTTTTTTGTGTTTTCCACGATGATAAAAGAAACAGGAGAATTGGACTGGTTTATCAAGGACAAATATGGAAACACAATTAATATTTTTTTCTATAATTAAAAACATTGATTTAAATGGAAGAGAAGTGACACATGTCATGCAAAGAATAGAGAAAGTCTAAAAATCTAGCATTAGAGGAAAAGTAAATGATATTCTATTCTATGTGAGAAGAGAAGATCCCATTTGGACACGTCCTCTCCCCCAAAGATGTATAAATAGCACTGTAGATGACTCATTATTGCTCACAGAGTAAGTATTTAGCTCATGAATATGGGTAGCACTGTTGTCAGGTTTCTAAGCATTGCAACCTTATTTACCATTTGCTTATTATTATGCAATGCAAATCTGAGTGCGCCTTGCAAACAAAATGAGAGACAAGCACTTTTGAAGTTTAAGCACGATCTTGAAGATCCTTCAAATCAGCTTTCATCTTGGGCTGGTGAAGGAGATTGTTGCAATTGGACGGGAGTTGTCTGCGACAATTTAACCGGTCATATCCGCGAGCTCCACCTTGCCGATACTTACAGTGGTAAGATAAGTCCATCTCTCCTCAATTTAAAGCATCTGAGCTACTTGGATCTAAGCAACAATGATTTTCAAGGAATGCAGATTCCTAGCTTCTTAGGTTCTCTCAAAAGTTTAAGATATCTTAACCTCTCATACTCCTCGTTCGTCGGATTAATTCCTCATCAATTGGGAAATCTAACGAGTCTACAGGTTCTTGATCTGGGCGATTATTCGGAACGGGAGGTTGAGAGCCTTCAATGGATTTCTGGTCTTTCTAAATTGCAACACTTGGACATGAGTTGTGCAAATCTTAGCAAAGCATCTGATTGGTTGCGGGTGACAAACACACTCCCGTCTTTGGTAGAGAGCTTCCATATGTCTGCTTGTGGACTTTATCACATACCTGGTGGTATTGCCAACATGACTAATCTTAAATTCCTTTATCTCGATCTCAACTCTATCAGTTCTATACCTAAATGGTTGTACAGGCTTAGCCATCTTCAGTCCCTAATTCTTTCCTTCAATTTTTTTCATGGTGAGATCTCGTCTTCCCTTGGAAACCTCACATCCATTGTCAATCTTGATATTTCGTGGAACTATCTCAATGGAAGCGTGTCAGAAATTTTTGAAAGTTTTTCTAGGTGTAGTTCAGGTCAAATAGAGTCATTGAGTCTATCATCGAACAATCTTTCTGGCCATTTAACAGATAAGCTTGATCATTTTGAAAAGTTGCGCCTCCTTTTTCTTGATAATAACTCAATATCAGGTCCCCTTCCACCGTCCTTTGGCAATCTGTCATGCCTAGAAGTTTTGAGAATTGATGATAATAATTTAACAGGTGTTGTCTCTCAACTACATTTCACTAATCTTACAAGATTGGTGGAATTTGACGCACGTGGAAACTCATTGACTCTTGAAACTACTCCACACTGGCTTCCTCCATTTCAACTTAGAAATTTTTGAAAGTTTTTCTAGGTGTAGTTCAGTTCAAATAGAGTCATTGAGTCTATCATCGAACGATCTTTCTGGCCATTTAACAGATAAGCTTGATCATTTTGAAAAGTTGCGCGTCCTTGATCTTGCTAGTAACTCAATATCAGGTCCCCTTCCACCGTCCTTTGGCAATCTGTCATGCCTAGAAGTTTTGAGAATTGATGATAATAATTTAACAGGTGTTGTCTCTCAACTACATTTCACCAATCTTAAAAAATTGGTGCAATTTGAAGCAAGTGGAAACTCATTGACTCTTGAAACTACTCCACACTGGCTTCCTCCATTTCAACTTTCTATTTTGGATTTAAATTATTGGCATCTGGAGCCATCGGAATTGCCCATGTGGCTTCAGAGTCAAACGCAGTTGGAGATTCTTATCATGCCCAACACAAGAATTTCAGGTACCATTCCGACTTGGTTTTGTAACTTTTCTTCCCAATTACAGCATATTGATCTCTCTGAAAATAAATTGTATGGTGAGGTTCCACATATATTTCCCAGTTCGCGTTGTTTCGATATTTTCTTAGGTTCTAACCAGTTCAATGGTTCATTACCTCTTGTTTCATCAAAAGTAGGTATACTAGATCTTTCCAGCTCATCGTTTTCTGGAACGCTCTTTCACTTCTTCTGTAATAATAGTAGTAAACCAAAGACACTTAGAATTCTTCGTCATTTCTTCATCTGGGCAACAATCTTCTATCTGGAAAAATTCCTGAGTGTCTCAGAAACTGGAAAAAGTTGTCAGCTGTAAATTTAGATAGCAACAATTTAATTGGGAATATTCCAAGGTCTTTGGGCTACTTACTCTCCCTCGAATTCTTGGACTTGCGCAATAATCACTTGCATGGGGAGTTGCCTCCTTATCTAAAGAAATGTACAGATTTGACTATTCTTGACCTTAGTTACAATAAGTTTCTAGGAAAGATACCAATGTGGATTGGAACAAGCCTTTCAAATTTGAGGGTTCTCAGCCTTCGTTCAAATCAGTTTCATGGCCACATTCCGTACAAACTTTGCGATCTCACATATCTCCAAATATTGGACCTCGCACATAACAATCTCTCAGGAAGAATGCCAAGGTGTTTGCACAATTTTACAGCAATGACCATCTCTTCAGAAAATACCCTCCCTATAGACTCGCTTAGAGAGAATGCAAACGTGGTGACAAAAGGCAGAGAAGTGAAATATGGAAGCAGTCTTCTTAGCTTGGCAATTAGTTTGGACCTTTCAGACAACATTATCTCTGGAGAAATCCCTGAAGAACTTACCAGCCTCATCTGCTTGCAGTCGGTGAATTTGTCTTATAATCTTTTGAGTGGAAGAATCCCTCCCAAGATTGGTGATATGAGAAGTTTAGAATCTCTTGATTTGTCCAGGAATCAACTTTGTGGTCAAATTGCTCCAAGTATGTCAAGTTTGACATTTCTCAGTGTCTTGAACTTGTCCTACAACAATTTGATAGGCGAGATTCCGAAAAGCACTCAACTTCAGAGTTTTGATCAATCCAGTTTTATTGGTAATAAACTTTGTGGCCCTCCACTTGAAGTGAACTGCAGTAATACCAACGGGACAGTACCACCAGTAGCAGATCAGAAACACGGAGGAAGTTATTTGCTTGAAGACGGTTGGTTCTATCTGAGCTTGGGACTAGGATTTCTGTTCGGTTTTTGGAGTGTTCTTGGCTCGTTGTTGTTGAACTTGCCATGGAGCATTGTTTTTAATCGGTTCCTAAATAGCATTGTGAAGAAGCTTTATGGGGTAATTGTGGAACATTTTTAACTATTTCTGCCGGTAGATTGACCTTGGTTTGTTCTTTTAGATGTTATCGTTTCCAAAATTTTAAGAGATGCTTTAGATAGGATGTACTTTTCTTGGATATCGATGCTTGTAATCAGGGTCAGGCTTTAAGTCCCCCCCCTTTTTTTTTTCAGTTGTTAATCAATAAAGTTATCCCTCGTACCACCGAGGTTTCTTCCAAAAAAAAGGAGATGCTTCAAAAATACAAGTCTACTAAATTTGAATGGGATGAAAGACAAAAGAATGCAGAGGGATAAATAATCCCAATCAATACGATCAAAGGCTTGTTTATATGTTTTTCTTAGAAAAGAAGATAACAGCTCATGACGGATGAGAATATTATATATCTTGAATTAGTAAGAATCAAAATCCAGGAGAGGAGGAAGACATTAGATGAACACAACCAAATCACTGCATGTGTTTCAAAGGGTTGGTTATTGAGTTCGCGAACGCCTCTTCACACATAAAAACAATTACATACACTGATTATACAGGCGCTCCTAGTCTTAAAGACTACCAGAAATCATTGTGCACTCGTTTATTACAAATGACAATTCCAAAACTACATTTAAAAAAATATATAAATGTTAATTACACATTTATATGTATTAACAGTTAGCTATTAATTACAGCTGCTATAGGCCTTTGCCACAAGGTATCAAAAAAAAAAAAATTATTTATCCATGTCTGCCACATTGTTATTTGGATAATTCCCTTTATAGCACTATGTGTCCTTTGTACTTTTATTCCTTTTGATGCCTTTTTATAAATAAATAAAAGTAACTAAATTACACCCTATTCAATTACATACATATTTACATGGAATATCACAAAATATTGAAATGAAACATTAAAATCAGCATTAAATAAATAAAGCTATAAAACAACACATTAAAGTAGGGGTATTTTTGGATGCAAAATATATTAAGTTTGAGATATTATGCCTAATTATGTAACTTATTTAATTGGATTCTAATTATTGGATTTTATTTATAAAAATTAAATTTTTTTTATTTATAAAAAAATAAGATGATGGACTGCACGTAAGAAAAAATTAATCTTAAGAAAAAAAAGCCAAATTTACTATAATAATAAAAGCTCGTGATTGAGATTGCTTGGCTGGCCTACAATGAATAAATATGTTCAGTATAATTTATTCATCTTGGCAAAAGTGCAAGAAAAAGGCCTATAGCAGTGTAACAGAAGAGCTGAATTGTCAGGTAAAATTACGCATTAACGGAGTCAAGGAAGTACATTAATACCGCCATATTTTGCCAAAAATAAAGTATATAAGTTGTCATTAGACATGGATAATAAGAAACAGTGCCAAAATCCCTCTATGATGATATAGTATGAGAGTCACGTGCTTTTAGTCCCTCAAACTGTTCTTCAGTGGCTAATACTATTAGCTAGTCAATGTCTTTCAGTGCCCAATAACATTACATTTACATGCTCCTTCTCTTCATCTTTACTTACTCATCCTCACGGACCCATCGACTTCTGAGTGTCTGAAGAGAGAGGATTGTCTTTTGTTAATGTGCCTAAATTTGGTTCAAGAGAGGATGATCTCTTAGAGATCGAGGTTGGGCAATTCTTACAGACTAGACTAGCATAATCAACCAAGTCGTCCTTGAGAACTTGCAAAACAAAAGAGCTAATGGTGGGTGACACCGGTGTGTTGCCGGCCAAGGACCCTCCGATGCTTAAGCCAATCGAGTGTTTGAGAGCACATCACACAATAGATTTTGGTACTTATAATGACACACCTTTGAGGAAGGGTCTCTTGATCAACCTTTTATATCATCATAGACGACCTAGTCCTTCTCATAATAGAACTCTAGAACAACCTAACCCTCTTCAAACTAGGACTCCAGAACAACCTAGTCATCCTCGAACTATAGGACTCCATTTATGTAGGTGTCTTGGTGAGCTTGAAACATCTTATCTTCTCTAGGATTAGAAGTCCTCTTGGTGAACACCACGTAAATTAGGCTAATGCCAGCCTTACCCACATCAGATCGAAGCTCATGGACCAATGGGCTTACAAGCCTACCTGAGCTAAGGTGGAGAAAATGCATAGCGATCAGGCTCAAGCCCAGCTCGTCCATTGATATCGAAATCAACTCGACCACCTGGACTAGAGCTCAGCTTAGTCATTTGTACTTTAGCTCAGCTCGACCAAGAGGTACTTTACCTCACAAACAGAAATCCCCCAAGTCTCTAGACGAGAGTTTTGTGTGGAGAGTTGCATCTTTTGGACAACTCCTTTTTGGGACCTTGGTCCCTTTATCCCCCACCTACGTTTTGTGAATTATTTGGTATGCTGCATGCCAAAACTTGTATATGTTGCTTGTGTTTGTTGTACCAAATTCCAATTGGATCATGTTTGTGAAAAAATGGTCACACCAATATGCACCTAAACTGAGGCAAAAATCCAGTATAACTTGTATGCAATTCCATGTGTTTGCCAATCTGAAACTTGACCCATGCATATGCAATGCCTTTGGGTTTCAAAAATAGAAATCCATGAGATGTGCTTATGGCATTTATCGGGTGAGCTTGTCATTGTTCCATTGTCAGTAGCGAGAAATTCCCCCGAATGCAAGGCAATTGTCGAAATACGGAGCTGTCCATAGGTAATGGCTTGGGAAAAACGCTGCAACACCGCTAGGAAGCCATGTGCTAGCTGTTTTTTATCCTTTGCTGAACTCGCCTTAAACAGTAGGCTACTGTCTAAAATACCCCCTTTCCTTACCCCGAAGGCTAGGCGTAGTGCAGTAGTTCTTGGGCCAAACGAATTTGAGGGAAATCACTTCACAAAACAGACCAACTGATGGACGAATTTCCAGGAAATCTTTCATCTTTAAATGATTAGCCCCAAAGAAAAAAAGAGGAAACCCGAATCGGCATGATTATATATACACATTTTTTAAAATTTTATTACACGTGGCGCTTTAGGATTGGTGCTTCAACCGGTTATTTTGCATAAAATCGGCCGCACCCGATTAAGTGACTTATGCGTCAATCCTCCGCCACTGTTCTTCTTCACTCGACGACGCGCAGCAGCAGCAGCTGCTCAATCTCAGGCCGGCCTCCGCCACGTCTCTCTCATCTCAATCTCAGGCTAGCCTCCGCTCTCTCTCTCTCTCTCTCTCATCTAGCGGCTTATCTCTCATATCAGCCTCTTCTCTAACTCTCTCTTTCTCATCTCGATGGGCAGCTTTTCAATCTCCAACTAATATGTGCTCGCTAATTTAAATAAATTAGGGTTTTTGATGAAATAATTTTGGCTTTCGGTTTCAATGGGGCTGTTGGAGTTTTCTGAGCTAATTTCAAAGGCTTTATAGCCTAATTTTATTGGTAGCCTGTACATAAAACTGAATTAGGGTTTTGTATGAAATTGAATTGGGGCTTGGATTTAATTTGTGCTTGCTGTTGTTGGATTATGTTATGTTGGTAGGTTCTTGGGATATTTCTGCTGTTTCTAAGGATGATTTAACGGGTTAATTACAGTTTAGTATCCTATGGTTATACCAGACATATTAGTCTATATTTTCTCAATTTTTACAATGAGATACTATCTTTTAGTTTCAATGTGATTCCAGGTTTGGGTTTTTGTCAAATATGTCCGTTAGTTGCCTACGTCGCAGTATGAATTAGGGTTTTACATTTTTTGTTAATTTTAAATTGATTAAAAAAAAATTTAGGAAAATGTTCAGAAAATGAGAAGTAAAAATCCCCCCCAACCACCTGCGATTTTCTTCTCCCCCTCATTCCCCCATGACCACCACCCGCAGCCATCCTCCAACCCCTCCCCCACCCCCAAACGAACCCATAACCCCAGCCCCCCACCACCCACGTTCCTGACTATAATTGTGAGGAAGACAATTGGAAAGGAAATAACAGCCAGCTTAATGTTGAGTGTAAGAAGCACGGACACGGACACGGATACGGATACGGTGATACGACACGACACGGGGATACGGCAAATTTTCAAAAATTAGGATACGATACGTCATGGATACGGCTATTATAAATATATATTAATAAATATATATAACCTAAAATATATTTTAAATAGATTATAAATTATAAATTATAAATATAGTGTAGCATTTTGGACTTTCTTTTCTGATTCTTTATATTTTTAGGCATCTATAGCTTTTTTCACCCAAATATATCATTACCCAAAGCCCATTTGTTTAAGACCCAAACCCATAAACAGATCTATGAAAAAATATATATATACATATATATGTTACAAATCCTGTTTTAGCAAACGACGTCGTCACTTGAGATCAGTCTGACATCTTCTTCTTCTCTCCCTCTCTGTCTCTCTGTCTCTCTCCCCCTGCAGTCTGACATCTTCTGGATCATTAAAAAAAAAATTGTAGTGTACCATAAATGGCGTCCCTCAAATAAAATTATTTGAGGAATCCCTCAATAGAAAAGATATTTTAAATAGATTATAAATTATAAATTATAAATATAGTGTAGCATTTTGGGCTTTCTTTTCTGATTCTTTATATTTTTAGGCATCTATAGCTTTTTTCACCCAAATATATCATTACCCAAAGCCCATTTTAATACTATTGTTTAAGACCCAAACCCATAAACAGATCTATGAAAAAATATATATATACATATATATGTTACAAATCCTGTTTTAGCAAACGACGTCGTCACTTGAGATCAGTCTGACATCTTCTTCTTCTCTCCCTCTCTGTCTCTCTGTCTCTCTCCCCCTGCAGTCTGACATCTTCTTCTTCTCTCTCTCTCCCTCCCTCTCTACCTCCCTCCAGTCTGATATCTTCTTCTTCTTCTTCCCCCTCCCTCCCTCTTCACACGCAGCACCCAGGGGCTCCTCAACGGCAAACTTCGCCCGGAGGTTCGTATCCGAAAAGTCAGATACTCGTGTCTGGAATGTCGGATACTCGTATCCGTTAGTCAACTGACGTATCCGTTGACTGCGATACGTATCCAATGCGTATCGGACCGTATCCGAAGCGTATCGTATCCAAACGAGTATCCGATACGGGATACGCCATCCTCCAGAGCTCGTTCCCGCCCTCGCCCGACGCTTTCCGGCGAGATCTGACGGTCTGTATCTCTCTCTCCTCTCCGCTCTCTACCCCTCTCTCTGCAAATTTAAAAACCGACAAATTGGAAAAAAAAAAAAATAGTTGGTTTTTGAATTTTGGTGTTTTGATTTATTTTATTTCCTCAATACATAACTGTACAATTAGCGTTATAATTTGGTGTCTCGTAGTTGTGGTGAATGTGATTATGAGAATTTTGGGTTGGCTTGTGTCTTCTCCCCTGTTTGGTAGATCATGAACTGATGGAAAGAAAACAGCAGGCAAAAAGTTTTCTTTTCTTAAAGTCCGAGACTTTTGCGGTTTTGGTAAAAATCCCAGTTTTGCAAAAAAAAAAAATCGTTGGTTTTTGGTGGGTGGGGACTGGAGTTTGGAGTCGGGGCAGGGGGTTTGGGTGGTTGCGGCTGGGGTTTTGGGTTCGTTTGGGTGTGTGGGGCTCTGGTTTGGGAGGATTCTTTTTCTGCAATTTTTTTTTCCAAAAAACAATATTTTAATCAATTTTAAATTAATAAAATGTGAAAAATGTGGGACCCATACTTAGAGATCTGACGGAAACTCTAACAGAGGAACCACATTGTAACAAATTTAAATAACCGAGGTATCTAATTGTAAAAATTGAGAAGATATGGACTAACATGTCTTAAGGGTGTAACCACATGGTACCAAAGTATAATTAACCCTAATTTAATTTATGCTTGCCAATTTATCGAAATTTGTGTCTGTCAATTGAAATTCAAATTAGGGTTTGTGAATGGCAATGGGTTTTGCAATTGAAACTATCATTTGGGCTTCTTAATTGAAAGTTCTTGCTAGCTAGTTTAAATCAATTTTGGTTAGGGCTGTTTTGCTTTTGTATTTCCAAATTAAATGCCTGCTGTTAGTTTGTATTAATGTGTTGGAACTATGTTATATACATATGCTGACCTGGTTTTCGGTTCTATGTATAGCTCTATAGTTGATGTGATGAGGTGTTAAAAACTCCATAAATATTGATAAAGCACCACATAATTAATTAGAAAATCTACTATCCACGAAGTTCTCTTGTCCTTAATTGTACCCAGGGTTATGAAAACAGTTTAGTTATTCACCAATGTTTGTATTGTTCATGCTACATGTTAGAAAAACCTTTTCACCTATAATGTATATTTTCATTTACTTCTATTAATATAGGATTCTAAATATTTGATAATGAAAAACATCAATGAGGCTGTACACAGACACTAGACTGTTATAGGGTTATGGTAAATTTAGGATTGAATAAATTTGTTCTTAGAGATTATATTTTAGCTATATTTTTTAAGTGCCTCTTTTGTCATAATCATAAATTGCATCTATAATCGCATAATTTAATTTAATTTATAAATAAATGAATAAAAACTAATTGTACCACCTCAACTCATCATGTTGTGCACCTCTTTTACAGAGATGGCAAAGAAGATGGTTAGTTGAGATGGGAAAGAAATAGAAGGATTTTTTACGATGTTAGAGGGGAGGAGGTGTATAATTTGTGGGAGAGGTCTGATCTTGGGCTACTTTATGGGCTTCAGACCATTCTTTTTATGTTATACTGTCAGATTGAAATGTTTTATTGTCTTGAGTATTTTTGGTAGTCTGCTTTCTGTTGCAAGTTTGTTTTTTTAATAAAAAAGATAAAAGATAATACAAAGAGTGGTACAAATTTAATTTAACTCGTAGTATCTGCACCGGATATGGCACCCTGGTTTATTGCCTGACTAATTGGAGTGTGGTGGAGTTCATTGGATAGCTCTTATGTGAACTTTCTACTCGTGCAGGTGGGTGTAGAGCTACTAAGAGCAATGGCGCCACCCAAGAGACCGCTTGCCAATGCCCAAGTGAACTTTCTAGGCGTGCAGGTGGGTTCTTGAAAATACGCAGAAAGGCTTCTATACCATTTATACCTGCCTCAATCACACACACAAATTCATTATAGCTGTACCCTATGAACCATACATGGCTTCAAAACTAATGCAAATCGCTCCCCACGAAGCCGAAGACCCAACAGAGCTCTCTCTGAGGCAAGCCTTTGAGCTTCTTGAACCAAAACTAAGACCCCCATTTTCAATAACGATTCCAAAGCCACAAGAATACTCGCTGCTCAACAAAGCGATACTTTATGGAGTTTTATATGAATGCCATTTGGGAAAAACACATATTAAGCACTTGCATGCCATTGTCACTGATGGGTATGGCTTGTTTGTTAGTTTCCTCACCAATGTTGTGAATGAATTGTATGTGAAACTTCTTGAACCAATCAAGTGCCAACTGATTTGGGTTACTAAGGAGTTGATTGATGTTCTAGCAGTAGGCGTTGATGGTTTGTTGGTTTGTTTGCTGAGGCAAATTGTTGGTGGGGATTTTAGTGAAGGAAATTTGTGGCTGTGTTTTGAGATGGTGAACATACTTTTGACCAAATGGGATTGTCTTTTAGAAGTAGAATCGATGATCTTGACGAGTGGGTTGTATACATATCTTCGGTTATTAGCTGATCACTGTAGGCAGTTAAGTAATCCAAAATTAGAGGCGTTAAAGCAATTGGAGATTGACTTTTGTATTAAAGTTTTAAAGGAGCAGTTTCCTTTGTGTTTGAAGATTGGCAGGGATCTTGTTCGACTCCTACAAGATTTGGTCCATTTACCCAAATTTAGAGCTATATGGAAGGATTTAGTACTGAACCAGGGTGAGTTTAAGAGTCTGGGATTTTCTGGTATTGCACAGCTCTATATCACAAGGACTCCAAGTCGGTATATGTTACTTCGGATTACTCCAGAAATGGAGGCACAGTTGAGATTTTTACTCACGCATGTGAAGTTGGGGAGTCATAAGCGTCACCAGGCATGGTTTGCCAAGAAGTTTCTATGTGAGCCAAACAGAGAGACTCTCATAGTCGACATTGTTCGTTTTATATGTTGTGCACACCACCCGCCAAATGAAATTATTCAGTCAGATGTCATTCCAAGATGGGCTGTTATAGGTTGGCTATTGAGATCTTGTACGAAGAATTATGTTGAGGCTAATGCGAAACTGGCTCTACTTTATGATTGGCTATTCTTTGAAGAAAGAGTAGACAATATTATGAATATTGAACCTGCAATGCTGTTAATGGTATACTCTGTACCCGGATACATTGATATAACACACACTCTTCTCGAATTTCTGTTCCTTTTGATGGACAACTATGATGTGGAACATTATGATATCTTAGTTAAAGGTGTGTCATCATCATTTAGTGTATGTGTAAAGAAAGGAGTGATCCGTTCACTTGATGTCTTGACCTCTTGTGATGCACTGTCTCCTATATTGAAAGAGAGGCTTGGTAGGTTTTTGTTAGGTACAAAATTTGAAATCTCTGGAAAGTTGAAACAAGCTCGTCTTCCCGGTCGCTTTGAGAGAGTGAAAAATTCTACCTGTATGGAAACTCCAACACCATCACCAGAAAGCATGAGATGAATTTTATTTCTTTTCTATGCTTGCTACCAATGAAGGCATGTTTGCTTGACTATAATACCTATTGCTATGTAAACTGTTGCCCATCATGAAATTTAGGGGGGATATACTGTTATTCATTCTTCTCATGTTATGACGTTTGAAACAGGAGTTATACTAGTGATAGGATGTATTTTCAATATGCAATAAGAACTATGACTGAAGTTGAGAGGAATGGGCAAACCATATGTATTTGCCTTTTGTTCTTTTACTGTTGCTATGGTTATTTTCATCAATTGCTTTTTGGCATAGCCACCATTTGTCATAACTTGTATTTTGCTTAGTGTAAGATTCTTTTTCAATCTGGGATATCAAAGTATACATTAGAATTGACTTTGATCCATCTTCACCTAATTTGTTAACAGAAGGTTTTATAAGTTTAAAGGCAGTGGAAGGTGTGACGACCACAGCTCTGCTCCTCCATGTGCAGGGTAAGCAACTTCCTATGCAGTAACCTCTATGTTTATATTTCTGATCAAAGTTTCCTTTCGGGGGTTTGCTGTTGGTTTGCTCTACATTACGTGTTTTCTCAGTTGGAGTGTTAATTTTGGCATTTCTCTTCACTCATTTCAAGTAAAATTAGAATTGTCTTTTGGGTGGTTGCTGCAATGCAATACAGGGAAAATGATATGGAATCTTAGAAAAATTGGTGGTTGGGTTTGAGTGGAGAGACTGTTTTCTTGAGTAGGTTTGATTTGTATGAAGCATTTTCACTCTTAGGATTCTCTTCTTAAAATTATGGGATGATTTAAATTAGAAAATAAGGAGGCACAATAATAATCAGTGCCAAGGAGAGAATATGAGTTCTATATTTCAATTGTAGGCTATTGTATTGTATGGATGGTTGCTTTTAAAACTAAATAAATCATTGTATGAGTTATTTCTGATATGGGCTTTGATGTTTAGGTTTGATGATTCACAGTCATGGCTTTGCCTCTGATTAGGTTGCTTCCCCACCGGTTCAACACCGTCAGGGCCTTTGTAAACGCCAAGGTAAAATGGGTCAGAGATCCATACTTGGACTACGCAGTTGAAAGAGAGAAAGACCTTAAACAAGTCATTTCCTTCAAGAACCAAATCATCTCCAACCCTTCGAAGTCCCTCCCTCTCTCTGCAGCCTCTTTGCTCAAACCCCACCTAAACCTCCCTACCACATCCTCCAAATTCTTCCAGAAATACCCCTCATTCTTCTCCATATTCCAGCCCTCCCCTGGTCTCCCGCCCCATGTCAAGCTCACTCCACAGACCCTCTTGCTCCACAAAAAGGAGTCAACCATTCATACCTCCATGTCTAACAAATACAACACCACTGAGCGACTTGCTAAGCTTTTGATGCTCGCTGGAGTGACCAAATTGCCCATGCACCTGATTAACAGGTTGAAATGGGATCTGGGTCTTCCTCATGATATTGTGGGTACCCTTCTTGCTGATTTTCCTGACTACTTTGAGGCTTGTGAAGTTGGGGATGCGGTAACTGGTAAAGTAGAGATTGCTTTGGGTCTTGTTTGTTGGAGAAAGGAGCTTGCTTTCTCTCAATTGGAGAGAAGGCCAATAATGGTCTGTGCCCCGAATGCAAACTTATCGAAGCACATTGGGTTTCCAATGAATTTTCCCAAGGGGTTTGATTTGGAGAATAGGGTGAAGGAATGGGTTGAGGAATGGCAGGCATTGCCATACATTTCGCCATATGAAAATGCAACCCATCTTTCACCAAATAGCGATCAGGCAGAGAAGTGGATGGTGGCAATGCTTCATGAGGTTCTTTGGCTTATGATTTCCAAGAAGACAGAGAGGGAAAATTTGTTTGTTTTGGGAGAGTATTTGGGGTTCGAAAGGTCGAGGTTAAAAAAGGCTGTGGTGCATCACCCAGGAATCTTCTATGTTTCAAATAAAATTAGGACACAAACTGTGGTCCTAAGGGAGGCATATAGGAAGGACTTCTTGATTGAGAAGCACCCATTAATGGGTATGCGGTATCGATACATTCACCTAATGAATAAGATGCAAAGAAGGGATGAAGCGACTCTTGTTTCGCCTTCTGGTGGTTGAAGACAGATTTCCATCTGCTGATGGTGGCGGTATAGAAGAACTAGGAGAGCAGACAGTGGGAATGGCTCTTCAGATGCTGCGTTTTAAGATTGTTGCAATGCTGTGATGATATGGAAATATGAGGGAGGTTGTAGGGAGATTGATGTGATCAATATAATTCTTAGGAGGCTTGATGTTGGTGCTACAGAAGTAAGATATGCTGATCGGGATCTCATGCAAGCCAAGCTGGTATTACCTCCGGTGAGAGGATGTGAGTTGTTGGAAATTCAGCAGTTAGTTTCGAGTAATAGTGGAAGGTGATTGTGTTGACCAAAAAAAGTGGCAGGTGGTATTATAATAAACATCGACATTGCATCAATTTGAATCTTTCTTTCTTTCTTTCTTGTTTCCTTTTGCTGCATACCAATTGCATTCTTTTCCCATGGTTTGGAATTTGATCTTTTCCCGTTCTTTTCTGCTCCTTGACATGGTTTTGTTCAGATGCTTTATCAACTTAATAATTTCAACTTTGCCAACAAATGAAATTGCGTTTAAATGTCCTAAAAAAGATTGCCTTGTGTATGCTAAGGTTTGGATTTCATCATAATGATTAATTTTTCAGTTACCTCTTTTCATATCTTCTGTGGGTACTGGGTACAAGTATTAGAAGTCAGATTTTTGAAGTCCTTTTTTTAACTATCCTACCGTGTTTACTTTTGGGAATGAAATTTGAAGTTCATATGCAACAGTTTATAAATTATAATAAGTTTCTAGACTTGAGAAGTTTTTAAATTGCCAACATTTTGGTGTAGAAGCTCATGGGGTATTCACTCAATTCTTATTGCAAAACCTTTTCTTTTGTGCATAGAATTGATTCACGTCTGCACATTATTGTGACTTGAAACTTGCAAGCAAGTTTTGACGAACCATACTCGGGATTCATCGCCTTTTTTTAATAGAGCATATCCATATCCAGCAAACTTTCTATCCTCTCATCCATAGCTATTTTGGCTAAAAAGAAGGAAAATTCTCCTTCCAGCAGACTCCTTTCCTGGCCCTCTATTTTGGAGAACTAACTTTTGGCTCTCTATATCTGGCAAGGAGAAGAGAGAAAAAGGGGGAGAGAGATGGACATTTGGGAGGTTGGTGGGGTTGAGTTTCTATTTTTCATTTTAATATATTGGATTTACAAGAGAGAGGGAGAAAGAGAAAATAATAATAAAATATTTCAGATTAGTCAAAATAGAGAACATAGCTGGAGGAAACACCAAGTGGTTTGCTATAATAGCTTTCTAGCTATTTTAGCTAGAATTTGGCTAAAATTTAGAGACTATCCGAGAGATGCTCCCCTTCTTCTGTTCATAAGGTCCACTAAGCTATTATAATCAGTCACAAGTGAAACACGAGATTTGTTTTGTTGTGTTTTTTAGTTGATACTGGTTGATGTGAAGCTGGACGGTGCCCGAGTGGTGATAGAACCAGGTAAAAAGATATATAAACAAGAAGGTCAGAGTCTAGCTTAGAAACATTGTGACATGCAGCAGTAGGCTGGAATGTGCATGTAGTAGGCTATAGCCACACTAATCCACCTGGAAAAGGCTTCAGATGTGAAAGAGGATTTTTCAAGAAGATAAAGTAACATTTCTGGATAAATGTTGCGGGATGTGAGTAGAAGACATCATCAACAATTATCCCGCACGCGAGAATTTATGTCAGAAGGCAGAAGTAGGTTTGAAACCTACCTTTAATTGTCAACAAAACGAGCTGTGGCTGAGAGTATAAACGTTCCGATCGATTAAAACGTGTACTAGCAATAATTGGAATGTTTATGTGAACGCTATTCTCTCTCTCTCTCTCTCTCTCTCAACAAAGAAAAGGTCTCCCTTGTTGTCTCTCTCTACTTAAAGAGTTTAGGTGGCAAGTCTTTACCAGGTGTTACATCAAACATGTGCTGATTTATTTTTCTGGACATTTTCACGTGCTACAACCCCACCAAGTTGGTTTTTTGCTACCCTACCCTGTCTCTTTTGTTGGTTTTTTGCTCTCGAATCCAGACATGCTGGTTTTTGTTTCTCACTATCATCCGTCTTTTCACATTTTATAGGAAAATATCCAGAAAAAATATAAGACTGTTGTGCAATAAGAAGGTTTTTATGACAAATGATACCTGAATTCTTTTCTTTCATTTTAGTTTTTAACTCTTAAATCAATCAATATAGTTCTTCATCTTTTGGTCTAGACATCAATTGAGTTCTCTAAATTTTCGTTAAACTTGGTCATCTGACTTGATCTTTTGGTCTAAACATCAATTGAGTCCCTAAATTTTTGTTAAACTTGGTTGTGTCATCACTTGACCAACCTTAAACAAGCATTTTCATCGAAATATAACTCATTTTAGTCTTTAAACTTATGTCTTTGTATTCTCAATAAGGTTATCTATTCACCATTTAGGGTCAGCAAAAGTAAATAGCCACGTTAAGCAAAAAACTCGAACTTTACTTTTTGTGATGGGTAAATATATTGTATTTTAATGAAAATACCCTTTTTAAAGTTGATCACTGTTATCATGTGACTAATTGACGTGTTAATGAAAATTATTAAGGATCACATTGATTGATTCGAAAGTTTGTGGACTCAAACTAAAACTTTAGAAAGAGAAATTCAAGAACCATTCTTGATTGAAAACCAAAAACACCCCCTAAAAGAATACGAGAGTACAATTTTTTTTAATAAAAAATATCTCTTTTAGTTTCTACTTAATGGGTCCTCCAAAAACTCTATCATGATGAACTGATCAAATTGAATCCGGACCCACCTCTCTTTTTAAAAATGAATTTGCCTAAATTTATGGACCTATTCAACCACCATGTGGTCTGTTTTGGATTGGTTTTATTTGACACAATTGACATGAGGAAGGATCACATGCTCATATTTTGCTAGATTTTTTTTTATCACATCCCACATATAATTCGTCAAGTCAATCAACTTTGAAAATAGTTGTATAATTTCTCCTCGAACAGTTAATGGGCATTGTACGTGATGGCATTAATGTTAGTTAATTAATTAACGTTCATGTTACTCAGTATATATGTATTTTCCAGTTTTGAAACTCCTTTAATATATACACTCTGAACTTGTACCAAATTTCATTTTGATTCTCCAACTCATTTTTTAATCATTTTGGTTCATCAACTCTAGCACATGTTCTAATCTAGTTACTTCGTAATTAGAGACAGATATATAGGATTCTCAGTATGAAAGGGCCAAAATTTGTAACTTACTTGCGTATAGCTTTCTCATCTTCAATTGGGGGCCTAACACTAAGTTAATTGGAGAAATTGCATTATAATAGCATATGTTTTGTAATAGATTATATAGGTTTGGAAAATAAATGAAGGGGCAA